CTAAAAGATAGAGCATGGTGATATTCTAGAGAACCACGGGGTGGTGAAGCAGCCCTTTTAATGGAAAGTGAGTGGGGATTGCACTTTCCAGGTGAGACCTCAGTTATGAGAGGAAACCAACCATAGCAAGCTCTGGGAAAGACTATTCTGGGCAGGGGAAATGGCAGGTGTAAAACTCCTCGCAAGTGAATGCACTGAAAGAAAGCTGTTGCCAGGGCTTAGTAAACACAGGAGAGTTGAGTAAAAGATTCTTAACCTGGGGACCCTGGATGGGTTTTAGTACCCATGGATCATTTGATATCTGTGCAAAAGATGGATGTCAGGCATGTTATCTGGGTCCTAGGAGTGCTTCACTCCAAAAGGAGTAGAGGCAGGCCTGTCTGGCTCACTGGAGAGATTAGGACATTAAAGAGGCAGCACCACTCATATTTATTGAGTGACTACCATGTTCTCTATGCCCATGATACACATTAATGAACCGAATATGCCCTCCCCGCCACACACACACACACACACACACACACACATCCCTTCAGATAGAGAGGAATATTCTCATATTATAAGGTGGCTCAAAGAGGGCAAGCAACTTGATCAGGGCCACACCTCCTGATAGGATCCAGCAATTCCACTCCTAGGTATATACCCCAAAGAATTAAAAACAAGTATTCAGACAAATACTTGTACAGAAATGTTTATAGGTACACTATCGATAAGAGCCAAAGGGTAGAAAACAACATAAATGCCCAACAGTAAAAGAGTGGAGAAACCAAATGTGGTACATTGTACAGTGGAATGGTATTTTGCTATAAAAAGGAGTGGAGCATTGGACACACTACAACATGAATCAACCTTGAAAACGATGCTCAGTGAGAGAAGCCAGACACAAAAGGCCACCTATGGTATGATTCCCTTCATATGTCCAGAAATAGACAAATTTGTAGAGACAAAAAGCAGATTAGTGGTAGTTGGGCTGAGAGGAGGGAATGGGAATGACTGCTAAAAGGTACAGGATTTCCTTTTGTGGTGAAGAATGTTTTCTAACTAGATACAGGTGGAGGCTGCACAAGATTGTGAACATTCTAAATGCCACTGAGCTGTACAACTTTGATATGTTTAATGGTTAGTTTTATGTTATGTGATTTTTACCTCAATTAAGATTTAATAAAGCTCCCAGAGTCACTTTCTACTGGTCTTAGGTCATGCCCTTTACCTCTGGCCCCCAACTAATCCCAGTAGCCAAGAGGGATGCAGTCCTTTGATTGGCCAAACCTGGTCACATGCTTCCTTGTGGTGGAGGAGGGGAGTTGAGGGATGTGGTGAGGAGGTAAAAGCTTCATTTTTACTTTAGGTCTGAGAGGGGTTAGTGGGGGCAATTGGGGATTGAAGCCCTCCCTCAAGCCTGTGCCCTGTCATGAGCTGGCATTCTCTTGGAAGAACAGCAATTAAAAATTCACATAGCCTGCCCTGGCCGGTTTGGCTCAGCGGTTAGAGCGTCGGCCTGCGGTCCGGAGAGACCCAGGTTCGGTTCCCGCTAAGGGCACGTACTTCGGTTGCAGTTTGTCCCCGGCCCTGGTTGGTCGTGTGGGTGGCAGCCACTCGATGTGTCCCTTCACGTCGATGTTTCTCTCTCTCTCTCTCCCTTCCTCTCTCTCCCTCCCACTCTATCTGTACAAAAAATGAAAAAATATCCTCGGGTGAGGATAAAAAAAAAAAAAGAGTTTCGGCCCGCGGACTGGAGAGTCCCAGGTTCAGTTCCCACTGGAGGTGCATACTCGGTTGCAGTTTGTCCCCACCCCAGTTGGGGTCATGTGGGTGGCAGCCACTCGATGTGTCTCTCTCACATTGATGTTTCTCTCTCTCACTTCCTCCTTCTCTCCCTCCCACTCTATCTGAAGATAAATGCAAAAAAAAAAAAACCCAAAAAACAAAAAAATCCTCTGGTGAGGATTTAAAAAAGCATAATATGCCCTGGCTGGTTTGGTTCAGCGGTTAGAGCGTCGGCCTGCGGTCCTGAGAGACCCGGGTTCGGTTTCCGCTGGGGGCGCATACCTTGGTTGCAGTTGTGTGGGTGGCAGCCGCTCGATGTGTTCCTTTCACATTGATGTTTCTCTCTCTCTCTCTGTTCCTCTCTCTCCCTCCCACTCTACCTGAACAAAAAATGGAAAAATGTCCTCGGGTGAGGATAAAGAGAAAAAAAAAAAGCATAATGTAAAGGTGCCTTAAAGGCTCATACTGGTCTTGGAAGAAATCTCCAGATCAGGAACTGTTGCCAGGAAAAGGGGGGAATGATACTAAGAGAGAGAAAAATTGCAGTGTTTGGTGTACTACCCTTTTCTGGGGAAATATCTTGTTGCATATAGTTTGGGTTGGCTCCAAAACCATTCATGGCTCCCTATGGCCTATGGTATAAGGGCCTCAGTGTGACAAAGTGCTCTGAGTTGAAGTTAATCTGGGGTTGGTCTCCAACTGGCCACTGGGCTCTACTCCAGCTTGGTCATATTCAACATTGCCATGAGTGGCTGTGTGTACATTTGTGATTGGCAAGAATCTGAGAGGTACAGAGAACATGCTAGAGGCTAGAAAGAGGACCCCTCCCCCAACACCCGCCCCCAAGGGAATAAATGCCAAGTCCCTCTGGGTGCTAATAAACCTGACCGCTAGAGGGCGATAGAGACCTAACGTAGTAGCAGTGTGCTTAAGGATAGGAAGCTACACTCCCTGCGTTCAAAATGTTTCTTTCTAGCTGTTGGACTTGGGTCCCTCATGTATCAATTTCTTTATCTGTAAAATTGAGATAACGTGTATCAATCATGCATTCTGCCATATGCTCGAATTACTATTTGCTTTATGTTTTTCTTTGCTTACACTGATGTAGATAGGAAATATTGTGTCACTTTAAGAAGTCATTTGTCACAATCAAAAATAACCATAAAACTAGATACAGTAACAACAAAAAAGTGTTATCAACTGCAGTTCAGTGATTTCTAACCCAGCTTGCACATTAGAATCCCCATTTGAACTTTATAAAAGGTGGCTCTTTGCAACAATTGTAGCTTAAAGGTTCTTCACTGCAAACTTCCTTAAGAGACAAATTGCCACACTCCTCATTTTTTTCTTTTATTTATTTAATTAGTTAGTTAAAAATATTTTGAGGATATTTTTTCCATTGATTTTCAGAGAGTGGAAGGGAGGAAGGAGGAGAGAGAGAGAGGGAGAGGGAGGGAGGGAGGGAGGGAGGGAGAGAGAGAGAGAGAGAGAGAGAGAGAGAGAGAGATCAATGTGAGAAAGGTACAACAAATTTGTTGTTTTCTGAACACACCCAAACTGGGGCTGGGGATCCAACCTGCAACACTGGGGGTGGAACGTGTAACCCAAGTACGTGCCCTTGACTGGGAATTGAATCTGCAATCCTTCAGTCCTTGGGTTGAGACTCTAACCACTGAGCAATACCAACCAGGGTTCATTTTTGTCTCCTTACTTGGGGCAGTGGTTTTGAAAGTTGAATAAGTCTCAGAATCATCTGCAGAACTTGTTAAACCAAACCTCTGGGTGTTGGAGCACAAGCAGTTTCTGATCCATAAATATAGGGAGACCAGAATCGGCATTCCTAACAAATTTCCCAGGTGATGGTGAGACTGCTGGTTCAAGGAATATATAGAAACCACTGATCTATTTACATTCAGTTATAGGATTTTAAACTATTAAAGTTGTATCGACACTAAACCAGCTGCTCTTTTCTCAGCATGCTTTCCATTCCACATCCCTCCACCACACCCTCAGCAGGTCCTGCCTTAGATTAATAAGTACAGTGTTATTATGATAGCAATCTGATCTTCAGAGTTTTTGTCTGGATTTACTGTCAATCCAAAGGTATTGATTTTCCAGTGCTATTCTTCAGTGCCAAGTACCAGCCACACCACCTAATGAATGTTGACTGACACTTAAGTAAGAAGTAGAGGGAAAAACCCCCACAAACAAAAACCGATTTTTAATTATAGGTAGGGATTTAAATAACTGCACAAGGGTCCCCAAATCACAGGCAGAAGTCCTAATTTCTGAGAGACAAGTGGCTTACAAGATCTTGAAAAAGATGGAGGACTGTGTTTATATCCTATCTAAATACAGTTCACAAGTCTCCCAGCCAGTGTGGCTCAGTGGTTGAGTGTCCACCGATGCACCATGAGGTCACCGGTTCGATTCCTGGTCAGGGCACATGCCCAGGTTGTGGGCCAAATCCCCAGTTAGGGGCATGCAGGAAGCAGGCAATCGATGTTCTCAGTAGCTGTGAAATTATAATAGGATCATGGGTAAATTCAAAATTGCTTATTGGAGGGCTTAGCATTCTAAATTTGGGGATAAAATAAGACCCTGTTGATCATTTTAATGCAGCACGATCTCAAATTTGCATAATCCAGTTAGCATCAACTAGCATTACACCGTACCATGTTTGTCCCCATTTACAGATGTGCAAACTGAGACCTACGGGTAGAAACCAGTTGACCAGGCTTGCCGCGGTGCACATCAAGTATAGGAAATTAATCTGCAGTTCCAAAGCTCATTCCACCTTATAGTAGCGGCACGCGACCAGGAAACAAAAGTGTCCCTGGGGCTCTCGATCCAGAGCTGGTACCCGACACCTCAGCTCCAGTCTAGGGAGGTTCTGGCCCCGAAGGCTGCAGGCACCAGGCAGTGCCCCCTGCGGCTACAGAGCGCAGGCGCCGTGCGCCCGCCCCGCCCCCGCCCCCTCCACGTGCAGCGCACACCTCGCGCTCCCTCCGTGGGGCTCGCCTCGAGCCTCCCTCCCTCCCTCCTCCCGCCCCTCCGGTCCGGATCTCCCATTGGCTAAGGACTTCGTTCCTCCGAGAGCCGCCCGGCCGGCCCGCGCCAGGCCGGAAGACCTGCCCCACGAGTTGCCTACTGTGCTGTTGATTGGTCCAGGTAGCTGTCAGTCGAGGCGGCTGGCCCGAGTCGGCGGCGGGGGCCCAGGGTCGGTACGCGACCCGGACTGGCGGTGGTTTCCGGTTCCGCGGGGCTGGCGGGCGGGCGGGCGGCCGGGAGCAGCGGCGGCGGCGCCTGACAGACAATGAGGGCGGCAGGGAGGCGCTGAGCGGCGGCAGCGGCGGCGGCGAGCGACGCGGGGCCCGGGGGCGGGGCTGGGCGGCAGCCATGGACAATCAGGTGAGGAGCGGCCGCGCCGCCCCAGCGCAGCCCGCGCCGTCCGCCCGGCCCCTTCCCTCCCTCCCTCCGCCCCGCCGCCCAGCCCTCCTGGGTCTCGGCCTCCCCGCCCCCGCTCGGCGCCCGCCCGCCCCGCTTTGTGCGCGCCCGCCGCTTCCCAAACCTTTATGTAGGGCACGGGCGCCCCTCCCCCACCCGCTCCCGGGCCTGGCTGGAGCGCCTGGGACCCTCCTGAGGACTCCGGGCGGGCCTAGCCCAGAGCTCCCCAGGGCGCCCCTTGTGACCCCAGTCCGGCCAAGAACCCTCTGGGACCCTCCCCTGGAACCTGGCCCAGCACAGAGCCCCCACAGGCGGCCTTTTGGATCTCAGTCCGACCCAGAGTCCTCTGGGACATCCCTTGGGACCCCAGCCCATCCTCCCCACAGGCGCCCCCGGGGACCCCTTAGATTCAGCGTATACCATCTTTCTCCTTTGGAACCAGCGCCGGTCTGTGTCTCCTTTCCTTTCTGGACCCTTGGCCCTGAGTCCCCAACCTCCTGCCTCTTCTCTCCCTTAAACCATGGCTAGGGTTTGAGCCCCACCCCCCAGAACCCCTGGGACCTTGGGTTGCAGCCCTCTCCTTCCTCGAACCCTAAGCCTTCTTTCCCCTCATCCTCTTCCAGGCCTGAGCCCTCTCTCCCCTCCGATCTTGACTCTGCCTCAGTCTGTTTCCCCTCAAATCCTGGCCAGGGCCTGGGTCTTCTCCCACAAGGACTCAGGTCTGTGTTGAGTGTTCCCCCACTTTGGACCTAGGGTTGCTTCCTCAGATTTCTTTGACTTTGCTGCCGCTGCCCTCTCAGGTTTCAGGCCCTGGTCACTCTCCCTGAGACCCCAGGGCCTTCCAGGAGCAGTTTCTGCTGACCTGAAGCCTCTACACCCTTCAGGCAGCAAAGGCCACACTCCCCTCAGCTGGGGCCCTCTTTGACCCTGGTTTACACTTCCCCACTTTCCTTCTCCCCCCATCCCGATTTCTCTCATCAGTATGGTTCCTCCAGCCTCAGTTGACCTCCCTTAACAGACCTGCAGTCTCCCCAGAACTCTAGTGCCTCTATCCTTACTTTCAGAGTCTTACACTTTATTCCACCATTCCCCCGCCTGATGCTGTCTGTGACTTTCAGCCTGTGTCCTCTCCTCTCTACTCACCTCATTTCCAGCTCCTTCCTCAGAATCTTAGAGCTTCCACCTAGGGCCTTGCTCCAAACCCTGGGTCGCTCTCTAACCTCTGTAAACTCTCCCCATGGCCTCTCTCCCTTCCTTCTGGAAACAGAGCCGGTCTTGTCAGTTCTGGTAAACCTGAGGCCTTTTTGGCCTCTGGTCCCCCCTTCACCAGCTCTATACTTCTTTTCAGTACCCAGTCCCCTTCCCTTCCTTAAGCCCAGGACAACTGTGGCCCCAGCATAGGATAATTTATTAATTTACTTCTTCATCCTCCTCTCCTGTCCCTGGCTTCCAGGGGCACCAGGCCAGGAAAAGCGGTGTGGGGGTGTGGGGGTGGCAACTGAAATCTCTGCCGTTAGCGAGGGCAGGTTGGGGCGTCCCTGGCTTCTGGCGCCACTGAGGCGGCTCTGTCTGGTAAGGCTCTGTGTCTCTGTGAGATTTCAGGGGTGTAGGGCAGGAGACCTCTCCCCTGCCCATCCTGGCCGCTTGTGGTGGCACAGGATCATTGAGGCTTGTGTTTGTGGCACCCTCTCACTATGATTTCCCTTGTGGCTTTGGTGTTACTACCTTTCTCTTCAGAAGGAAGGAAGAGTTTATTGCAGTTGAATGGTGGGGTTCTATAGCGTGGTATGAATTCAGTTCCCTTGAAGGTACAGAGCTTGTTGCCTTCAATTCATGTGGAGTTAAAAAACAAAACAAAATACACCATTAGTGTCCACTTGCAACAAAAGCCCACCTCTGGAAAGGGCTTGTTGGGCACCACACAGGTGTAGAATATCACTCCTGCCTCTTACCCCACCTGCTGTTTCCCTGGTAAGATGTCTTAGGCCCAAGTGTGTCCATTCCCCCTGGACAGCTGTCATTTATGTAAATGGAATGGTGAGAATAGGTGGCATTTTTGGTCTGTGTCAGAGTGGACTGCATTGCTCAGTGCTGTGGCCACCAGCACTTGTGGCTCTTTAAACATAAATGAAACAAAATGAAAAAGCCAGTGCCTCAATCACACCAGTCACATTTTAATTGCCCAGTGACTACTACTGCTGATCTGTCAGTCCCCTCATTGAGCAGCATGGAGAGATGGCAGAAAGGTCCATTGGACATTTGCTGGTATAGACCCTTGCAGAAGTATTTGCAAGTGAAACTGGTCCCAGAGGAAAGTATGTGTCACTCCATAGACTGATTCTCCATTCTGGCTGTGTTTTCATGCAAATTTGGGAGAGTACCCAAGTAGGCGAGTTGGCAGTCAGTGTTCCAGAACAACTTCTGGTATATGGCAAAGGGTTTGAATCCAGCAGAATCTCAGCCTTCTCTTTCTCCCTCAGGATGCCCCAAACCTGTAAGTGCCTCAGTCTGATGGGGAACAACAGGACTTTCCCCTAAGGGCCCGCCAGCTTTGGGAGTCATTGCTTCTCTTTACTTTCCTGTTGTATTCTCCAGAACTTTTAGCCCAGCTAAGAAGGGTGATTCTGCATTTTGCTCTGGGCTCCCAACTTCTCAATATCGAAATCTTTCCCCATGGGTAGGAAAGATTTATGGTTCCTTCTGTCCTGGCCCCAAGTCTGTACTTAACATGTCCAATGTTGCTGGGATTTGTATTGTTTTAGAGGGGAGGAAGCCATGTACTTTGGGGGAGGGGCATTCCTTAGGCATGTGATTTATCTCCATGGATGGTGGGGAAGGAACAGACATAGTTAAAGGCTGAGCAGATGCTGGGATGATGGGGAGGGGTTGCCTGGGGAAGTGGGTTGCCTGATGGGAAACTAGAAGTGGTGTCAGTGTCTGAGTGATTCTGTTCTCCAAAGAACCAGGGTGTCCTCCCCTCGCAGAAGCACTGGGTATGGCACCCAAGGTGATGGTTGACCCATTGACTCACACAGTTGAATTAATGCTGATTCCTCAAAAGGTTTTCTTGAGTTTGAATTTGGTAACAACTGCTTTTGACAATACTCTGTTGTTCTGGAAGGGGAGGTTTATTTCTAATCAACATGGCCCATTTTACAGATGTGTAAATGCAGGCTCTGGAAGGCCTTGAGAGGAGTCAAGGCTTAGTGGCATTCTTAGGTAGGTCTGTTCTTTCCCCAAGACCTTGTGGATAAATGCTTAGAATTGTTCAGAGCACTGACATGATAGTGACTGGATTCTTCCCCACTCAGCTTTGAAACTATTGCTTAGAAAGTCGGCATGCCAAGTCTTTGTCCTGAGGTTAATATGCTTAAGGGCAGGGACCCGAGTCGTCTTCTGCTTTATGTCCATGTAACACAGTTTTGTACAAGTTTTGCCAACTGTTGGTTAAATAAAAGTAACTAGGTATCAGCCCCTTGTAACCAGGCCCGCCTGGCCTGGCCACAGTTGTCTTTATTGGGGTCATGTGTGTTTAAAAAAAAATCTTCCCAAACTGCTCCCTGGAGAACTTTGGCAACACCCAGCACGCCATCCACACGTCTCTAGGCGTCTCATGCATATAGAGTGTATACCTTTTCTCAGGCCTTCCTGGCAGGCTGGTGAAGGTCTGTCTTCTCAGGAACCTGAAAACTAAGGATTGAGGGTTCATTTACATATCCACATGATCTGCACACTTATCTTTAGAGAGCATTCATTGAGCTCCCTCTCATTTCTTTGTCATTAACCTTGTACTCTGGGTGAAAGGGACAAGGCTGGACAAAGTCAGAAGAGGGGTGCAGGTGCTGGCAGCTAGCCCCCTGTGTACCAATAGTTAAAGACTGGGGCCTCATGCAGCTTGGTTCTGTTCGTACCTCCAAGCAGGCTGCCTTCCTCTTGAGAGGATTGTCACTGAGGGCCATCTTCATTTTCTGTCTTTTTTACATTCTCATTCAGTGGCTGCTCTGAAGAACCCTCCACCCCCTCCACCCCCCAACTGGGTCTGGAGGGAAAGTTCTATGAAGAGTATTTTATTTGGTCTTGTGTTGCTGTCACTTCATGTGACCAGTACTTTTTCCCATTTCTGTATGTGTGGACCATGTTGCCAGCAATCTGCTAGGTCCAGTTAGACTTGGCAAAATCAGTCCTGACTGATGATGGAAAATGCTCTTGGGTGCTTTCTCCTTCTAGGAGGGGAGTGAATTGTCACATCTGGGGGAATTTTATGCAGTAACCAAACTCCAGGCATAATTATTGCCACTTGGTAAAGTGCGAATTCCCAGAGGAAAGGGCATCTGTTGAAGAGAGTTCCCACCAGAAAACCAGGGGAAATCTTACAGATAAACTTGTTGCTAAAGACCAGCTTTCTGGGGCCCAGGCTGAGGACAGGGTTCCCAGGGTACGGAAAGGATCTGATGAAGAAAGGTCATTGAAGGTGTGGAGCTGTTGGGACCAGGCTTGCTCTTTCTCTTGGCCAGGTGGAGGTTGTTCAAGTTCACATGGGGAATGTGAGGCACTATGCTTTAGTGAAAAAGTTCCTGGAGGATCTGTTCTGCCCTCTAGGTCCTGTTTGCCTGGCTTGTAGGTCTTAGGAGTTTGGCCCTTGGGTTTCAAGTGCCCTCTGCCAGTTGGCCTGGAAAAAGGGCAGTGCCCACTGAGGCCCTGTGCCCAAGGTGAACTGTCCCCAGATGGCTCTCAGAGCCCTTGTGCTGCTCCATCTTCATCCACAGGTCTTTTGGATGATGTCCTAGAAGTAAAATAGTTAAGCCTTTTTAAGTCAGGCCTGGAATATTCCCCTTTGTTCCAGGCTTTTTTTTTGAGTGGTGGGTGGCAAAGTAGCCTCCAAGACATGGGCAGTAACTGAGGCTAGATCCCAGAGCCACTTCTAGCCACCCACTCTGGAGGTTCCACAAAGGGCCCCCATGTAGCCAGACAGGGAGATTCTTCCTTCCGAGGCAGGTTAACCTAACCAACAGTTAACTCCTTTAGCCAGGTACCCTTCAAAGAGAAATTCTAACGGATAGGGAGGGAATCCAGGTGATGTAAGAAGGGGGGGGGGCACGGAACCCTTGGAGGTGGAATTGGCTTAGCTATACTAATAAATTATCATGACTTGACAAGTCAAAATAGTTGGCCACGGCTCAGCTTTTTGCTTGCCTTCAGTTCAATGTAGCTTGAGTGTCTTACTGAATCAGTGAGATGTATTTATAATGGCCCAGAATCTGTGTTATTCCACCATCTTTGTTTTTTAGAAGATTCCAGCATTTGGGGGAGTGATCCTCTCCTGAGTGCACCCTCATATGCAGTCATTGGCACCTTGAACCTGGGGGTGTGGAGGCTGAGTTGCCCAGTGAGATTTGGGCATGGCCTGCCAGTTACAGAGATGACCCACCACTGCTTCAGAACCTTCCTGTTTGTTTACTTTGGCCTCTCGGGTATATTTTTGGTGCTTCCATTTTCCTCTCTCCGGTGAAACTGTGGTCTCCATTCTTTCACAATAACTGTTTTGCCGCTCATGTGCCCTGGGTAGGAACCCCACATAATCAGAAGTGCTGGGAAGGCAGCCAGCTTGGTGAATAACAGAATCTGAGGAGACATCTCATTATGTAGGAATTAACTCTAAAGAACAAAAAGTTGTTTGCCAATATATTATTGTTGTGATCATTTGTATTTAGTTTTCCACCTGTAACCCTCCCAGCAATCAAGGGATTGTCTCCTGATTTCTCAGTGTAAAACAGGTTGGAGAGAAAGGCAGAGTTTCTTACACATGTGGATATGTATGTGGTGATTACAGTCTTTTGGGATAATGTAAATATTGCCTGGGTTTGTTTATGTTGAACGTTGTCCATATGCAGCATTCTGCAGACAGATGCCTGTGGTTGATTTGAGCATTACATGTTTATCTAGACTTGTAGTCCCTTGTCTCTAGCTTTTGGTGTCTATAGCTCTAGCTTATTTCCACTTGAATATCCCCAGTATTCCCTTCCACCATCCCAGCAGCATCACAGCTACCTGAGTGTAAGAGTTATTTGAGCCTCCTCAGCTCTCCTCCTCCATCCACCCTGAGGTCCTATGAGTTCTTCCATTTCAGGCTTGACTAAACCCCCTTTTCCAGCCACACCCCCTAATTGCCTTCATGTGGGCTTGTTTGTTTCTTTTCTGCCATCAGTTCAGACTACACAGATTGCTCAGGCTCTTTTACTCACATATTGTGTCTCACATCCATCACCTACTTATAATTGGCTGTCATTTCTGTTATGTGGAATCTAAATACTCCATCCCAGTACCCACCACTCCTTCCAGTGGTTGTGGTCCTAGTAAGTCCTTGCTCTATTCCCGAGGAGCCCCACAGGGACTGTCCTGTATCAGAGGAACTCCCACCCTGTTTTTCATTTTTTTGGTACGTGCCCTTAGCGGGAACCGAACCCAGGACTCTGGTCCGCAGGCTGATGCTCCATCCACTGAGCCAAACTGGCCAGGGCTTCTACCCTGTTTGTACAGCTGCTCATTAAGTTACCCAGAGCCTCTGCTAGCTCTTCCATATGTCGGAACCATCCTGTTCTTATTACAGTCCTTATTCGCTCTTCTAGGAAAGCACCACTTAGAACTCATTGATCTAGGAAGGCCCTCTAGTTTGATTCATTAAGTATAGTTGATGCCTCACATACTGTGGCTCCAAGATAGAGGTTAAAAGGACGATTGAGATGTCCTGGGAAGATAGCAGTGGACAGCCCAGGAAAAGCAACACCGCAAGGATTTCTGTACACACACAGCAATGGAAAAGTGCTCTGGAGAAAGTAGCACTTAAGCTGGCATTTAAGGGACAAGTGAAATTTAATCAGCAGGGAAATGAGTAGGGCACTCAGGCTGTGGGCTAGAAGGAGTAGAGACAGCATGAACATTCCTCATGTGTTTTTGGGATGCGCATCTGACTAAGTTGGAACGGATGTGGTGTGCATCTTCTGTGTTTCCTCAGTTCCAAGCATCATGGGCACATCACAAACTTCGTAAGGTGGTGTATGTGTGTGTACCTTGGGGTGGGGGAGGGGGGTGAGACTCTCAGTACATGAAATTTATACATGGACTGCAGGATATACTCCAACCTCAGAAGGGTTAAAAAGTGAAAAATAGCTCGGCTGGTGTGGCTCAGTGGTTGAGCGTCGACTCATGCACCAAGAGGTTGCCAGTTTGATTCTCCGCCAGGGCACATGCCTAGGTTGTGGGCCAAATCCCGAGGGGGGGCATGCAGGAGGCGGTCATTCGATGTTCTCATCGATGTTTTCTATCTCTCCCACTCCCTTCCTCTCTCTCTAAAAAATTTTTTTAAACTTTTTTTTTGGTACATGCCCCTAGCGGGAACCGAACCCGGGATTCTCTGGTCTGCAGGCTGACGCTCCAACAGCTGAACCAAACCAGCCAGGGCTAAAAATGAAAAATAAGTGAAAAATAACGAGTATCTCAGACTTGAGGATACACAGGTGGGAGACTGGCAGTGTGCTGAGGCATTTGGACTTTATCCTGAGGACTTGGAGAGCCATGGAAAGCTGTGAGAAAGAGCGAGAGATAGGGTCTGCTTGCCCTGCTTTCATCGCAGTGACTGAGCAGCGAGAGGAGGGTGAAAAGGGAAGGAGGACACTGATGGTGGGGACTGAACAGGTTGCCAAATCACAGAAGAGGCAGGTACAGAGGGACTGTGGCCATAGGGACACATGTCATCAGTAGGTTGGGTGAGAAAGAGGATGGAAAGTGAAAAGTCGAAGGTTTCTGGTCAGGTTCTAGGAGGGCGATTCTATCAAGGGAGACCAGGGAAGCCCATCACAGGGGAGTTTCGTTTGGGAAGTGTGGCATTGACGCCACCCACGACTTGCTCCTGGTTATCTCAGCACTTAGGAACAAGTGTCCACTTGGCCTCTGCTTTCTTTGTATCATTCCTGCCTTTGATACTAGGTGTCAAGTTGTATCTATGGGAGGTCTGGGGAGGCTTTTACTGAGGAGATGCCTGTTTATAGTAAGTTCCCTGGCAGTATTTTGACACCCTCTAGATGTTGCTGGTACTTCGAAGTTTTGTGGCTTTGTGTCCAGTGGAGTGGAAACAACATGAGCTGTCTTATGTTTCAGAGCAGAGCATCAGACATAAACATAATGAAGGGAGCCTGACTACTGGGGCTGCGGGTCTACCTGGGACCTGTCCTCAGGTGGCTTCAAGCTCACCCCTCTATTCTCAGCATTATGCTTTTAAAACTGAGCCACTGGTGCAGATGACTCAGGTGAGCCTACCGGTCTCTGTTCTCCAAGAGGCATACTGTAGGACAAGGGAGAATGAAAATACTTAATACTTTAATCAAGGAGCAAGGGAGGCTTGACCAGGGAGGCAAGCTGGCAGAGTGGCTACGGAAGCAGGCCCTTGGGTGACAAACACTTGAGTTTGAGTCTGTTCCCTGCTTCATACCAGCTGGGCCCTGTCATGTGTGCTGCTTGGCAGCACACTCTTGGAGCCTCAGGTTCCTCATCTGTAGAAGGAGGTAATCGCACTTCCTATTGCACCATTATGTTCTGTGAGATCTTGGTGGGTATACCAACTCTGGACAAGGAGCCATCCCTGAGGAGCCAATGTTAGAGCAGAGTGAACAAACTATTGGTAAGATGACTTCTGATAGTGAGAAATACTAAGACATGATGTGACAGAGTGATGGGGATGGTGGTGGGTGGTTTCATATTAGGTGGTCAAGAAAGTCTTCCCTGAGGGCTGACAGTCTAGCCTAGACCTCAGTGACAGAAAGGAGCCTGCCATGGGAAGGCCTAGGGTCAGAGTATGTGAGGCAGAGGGAACCGAAGGTGCCAAGGCCCTGAGGCTGGAATGGAGAGGTTGAGGGGGAGGTTGGAGAGGATCCATGGGGCCTGGCTTGGGCTTGCTGGACATAGAACATATGTAAAGCAGGCACACAGTACTTGGTCTTTGTGGACAGCTAGCAAGTCTCCTACTCTGGGCTTTGTGCTGATCCTGTGCCCACCTCTTTCTCTCACCAGTGCACTGTCCAGGTCAAGTTAGAGCTGGGACACCGGGCCCAACTGCGCAAGAAACCCACCACGGAGGGGTTCACGCACGATTGGATGGTGTTCGTCCGTGGCCCCGAGCAATGTGAAATCCAGCACTTCGTGGAGAAGGTGGTCTTCCGGCTGCATGACAGCTTCCCCAAGCCCAAGCGCGGTGAGTGGCCCCTGCCCCCCCTAGCCGGGCAGCCCCACAGGGCCAAGTACCTGCAGCACTAACCCATTTGAGTCACTCCTTGCAAGGTTGGTGTTCACCTTCTTCCCAGGGGCAGTGGGCTCACACTTTGAGGTTCTGGCTTGCACCCCTCAGCATGCCAGTAAGTTGCCTGGCCAGCACTTGACCCTTCTCTGACCCTATAAAGGTCCCCCTCCCTTTCTTCTGCTTCTCCTTTCTCTGTTGAGTTCATAGTAGGGAAAACCCAAAGGAGGTGATAGCTGACTGAGTCTTGTGTCATTATTTAGACTCTGAGAAGTCTCCAGAAAAAACGTAGTCAGGCCCTGGCCAGTTTGGCTCAGCGGTTAGAGTGTCGGCCTGCGGTCCGGAGAGACCCGGGTTCGGTTCCCGCTAAGGGCACGTACTTCGGTTGCAGTTTGTCCCCGGCCCTGGTTGGTCGTGTGGGTGGCAGCCACTCGATGTGTCCCTTCACGTCGATGTTTCTCTCTCTCTCTCCCTTCCTCTCTCTCCCTCCCACTCTATCTATACAAAAAATGGAAAAATATCCTCGGGTGAGGATTAAAAAAAAAAAAACATAGTCAGTGGCCAGTGGGTGGGAAAAGGTGATTTACACCTACTTGGTGAGTAATCAGGAAATTGCTTATTGGGCCTATGTTTGATAAGAGATGCCATTTTAAGAGCTCATGATATTTGTCAAAAAAAACCCAAAAACATAAAAGGTACTCATTTCACCTCTGTCTTATTTCTTATGTCTTCCTTTCCAGTGTCATCACCTCTCAGACTGTTTGATGAGCACAAGTTTCTCAATCACATTTCACACAAAGATTCTGATTTCCTGTGACCTGGCAGTCTAACAGCACAGAGAGAGGGGGATTCTCCCCTGAGAACACTTCTGGGGAATTTGACAGGGAATTTGGGAACATAGTTGGTGGCTATCCTGTGAACTCTGTGGGGGCCGTGTTTGCATTTCTCACTACTGAGGCCCCATTGTGAAGCCTGGTATGTCACAGGGGTCCAATAAATATTTCTTGAATGGATGTGTTGATAAAGGCATGAAGGACCTTTTGTTAGCAAAGTGCTTCAGGGTTGGGGACCTGCTGCTGTGCTTCTGACTCCTCTACCTGCACTGCAGGGATCAGGGGCCCATGGCTGAGCTGGGAGCCAGTGTGGACAGCCTCAGGCAGAAGCAGGAGCACATCCTGGGATCCACTAGGGGCCTGCTTATGTTACAGAAGCAGAAACTTCTGGTTCAGAAGGGAAGGCAACCTGAGATTCCTACTGGCATGGCAGTCATTTTCTTTCCCTTTGGTTTCTTCTGGCAGCTTTCATTTATTTCTTTCCTCATTTCTCCTCTCCTGAATCTCCTCTCCTCCTTTCTATCTGTGCCTCTTGTAGGAGAGCAGACATGTTACTGACAACAGCAGATATCTGTAAAGCACCTATTAATAATAATAATAACAATGCCATTTATCAAGCCCTTCCTGTAGGGTCTTTTTAAGTGTTTTTTTGTTTGTTTGTTTGTTTGTTTTCCTTATATTGATTTTAGAGAGTGAGAGGCAGAGAGAGATAGGAACATCAATGAGAGAGAACATCAATTGGCTGCCTCCTGCATGCTTCCCACTGGGGATCAGGCCCACAACCTGGGTATGTGTCCTGACCAGGCATCAAACTGGCGACGCTCAACCACTGAGCCACACCAGCCAGACTTCCTGTAGGGTCTTGATTCATTCTTTCTACAGCCCTCTTTTACAGATGGGGAAACAGGCTCAAGGGGGCCAGGTAAGCTGCCTGTGCTTTACTTTTTTTTTTAATCCTCACCCGAGGATATTTTTCCATTTATCTTCAGATAGAGTGTGAGGGAGGGGGAGAGAGAGAGAGAGAAACATCCATGTGAGAGAGACGCATTGAGTGGCTGCCTCCCACACTACCCCATGAGGGCCAGGGACAAACTGCAAGCAAGGTATGTGTCCTGGACTAGAATTGAAACTGTGACTCTTTGGTCCGAGGGCTGATGCTGTAATCACTAAGCCAAACTGGCCAGGGCTACCTGTGCTTTAAAGCAGTGGTCCACACACTGGCCTGGGGGCGTGGTAGCACCGCTTATTTCTGTTGGCACCTGTCCACACCCATTCATTTGGGAGTCCTCTGTGGCTGCTCTTGAGCTATGACAGCAGAGTAGAAGCTGTGGCTGCCTCTTTATCATGAGCTGGGCCTGCCTTATTTCCTTAGCAGCTTCAACTCCAGCTCTTTCACCATCTCCCTCGCCTGTCCTGTTCCCTTTTCTCCTAGTGGGCCCAGGATGATGATTTCCATTCACCTTTAAACTGTTTATTTAATCTTCGTCCCTACAGGGTCGATAACCAAACAGCTACTAGAAGTAATATTAATAGTGGTCTGCATTTGTCAAGCACTCACTGGTCTTTTGCTGTGCTCATGACAGCCCTGCAAAATGTACATCCCAGAACTCCTGCCAGGTAGCTGTGGAAACTGAGGTTCAGAGAGGCCCAGTAACTTGCTTATGGTCACGTGAAAGCAGCATAGTCTCTGAGCTCCAAGCTCCAAGAAAATGGGCAATGAGCCCTGGCCGATTTGGCTCAGCAGTTAGAGCGTTGGCCTGTGGTCCAGAGAGACCCGGGTTCGGTTCCCGCTAAGGGCGTGTATGTCGGTTGCAGTTTGTCCCCGGCCCTGGTTGGTCGTGTGGGTGGTGGCCACTCGATATGTCCCTTTCACGTAAATGTTTCTCGCCCCCCCCCCCCCACTCTATCTGAACAAAAAATGGAAAAATGTCCTCGGGTGAGGATAAAAAAAAAAAGGAAATGGGTGATGAGTGAGGCCCACTTTTTTTTTTCTTTCTTTTTTGGAGTGGTGGTGGTGGGTGGTGGTGGAGAGCCCCCCCCCCCTTCTTAAAGTGTCAGTTTGCAGGTAGAGCTTAAATTAGTAGTCAAATGATGCTTGTTGCCAAGTCTGCACAAAATGTGTGAAATAGTAAGTGCCCAGTTAGCTATTTGTTGTGTCAAACAAAACTTGCTTGGATTATACCCTACCATTTGTCAGTGAAAAATGGACCAGGTTAAAGAGTGAGGTTCTTATAGGACCCTAGGCTCTGAAATTACATGTTACATACTTAAAAAGTATCTTTAAAGTCAGATATATACACATAACAAACCCAATAAGAATGTACCAGTTGGGAAGTTTCCATTTCCCATGCCATCACTGGTCACACTGCTCCAGGGGCAACCTTTCTAGTCCTTTCTGGATTGTGTCCTCCTGAACACCTTAAGTTAGTAGAGGCAAACTGGCTTTTTAGTTCTTGATTTTCAAGTTTAAAAAATATTAATTTACCAGCATGAAAGGCTAGACTTTATACTAAACTCCTAACATTTTTTTTAATCCTCACCCAAGGATATTTTTACATTTATCTTCAGACAAAGTGGCGGGGGGGAGAGAGAAACATCCATGTGAGAGAGACGCATTGATTGGTTGCCACCCATATGACTAACTGCAACCAAGATATGTACCCTTGTCCAGAATTGAACCCGGGACTCTTTGGTCCACAGGCCGACACTAACCGCTGAGTCAAACTGGCCGGAGCCCAATTTTTTTTTTTTTAATCCTCACTCGAGGATATTTTTTCCATTTATCTTCAGACAGAGTGGGAGGGAGGGAGGGAAACATTGATGTGAGAGAGAGACATCAATTGGTTGCTTCCTGAATGACCCCAAACCAGGGCTGGGGACTGAACTGCAACCAAGGTACGTGCCCATGATCAGAATCAAACCTGAGACTTTTGGTTCGAGGGCTGACGCTCCAACTGCTGAGCCAAACTGGCCAAGGCCCAGCTTCTTTATCCAAAATGTTTTATAGTTAAGTGATTCACTTTGTGGTGATTGTCTTTGCAACTGAATAATGAGCAAACCTATTTACCTTTCAGAACCTCCACAAAGGCTCCCTGTCACCCTTTTTAAAGAAGTCATCTGCATGCCAGGTCTAACTTACAGTTTCTTTGTTCAAAACACCTAAATAGCCACATGCTTCTAGCCTTTTTTTCTGTTTACCACCATCTTAACATATTATTTATATTACTTATTTGTGACTTGCTATAGTTTGCTGCTATCTCCTGGGTGCTATGAGCTTTTGTCAGTATCTTTTGACTCTACATTTAGGAAGAGAAGGACATGAGCACCCCTGTCTTTGAACCTTACACTACTCCTTGACATTGTTAGGTTGTTGAACTAAAACTGAGACTTTCACTCTTGGGTCAAAAATTGACTAAAAGTCAGAAACCATTAAGCACTATTGACTATTATTGACTCTATTCATTGCAGGGCTGGTGAGGGTGCCAGGTTTTTGTTTTTTTTAAATGTGTTTTTATTGATATTTTAGAGAGAGAGAGGTAGAAACAACAATGTGAGAGAGAAACATCCATCAGCTGCCTCCTGCACGCCCCTTACTGGGGATCAAACCTGAAATCCGGGCATGTGCCCTGACCTGGAATCAAACCAGCACCTCTTGGTCCATGGGACCATGCTCAGTCCATTGAGCCACACCAGCCAGGTTTTCATTCATACTTTATGTGAACTCTGGACCACTCACAGGAGAACATTCAAGGTCAGATGAGTTCTTTATCATTCTTGATGAAAATTCAGCCCTGTTTACTCTTCGTTATGTTTGGGCCCTAACTTTGTGACTATCCCTTTGCTTCTTTTTCTCCTGTTGCATTATGTCTTCATTATACTTTCACTTTTTTCTATCCTCAATCATTTTATTTAGTTGATGGATATCCTCCCCGCCTCCAATATTTCATTCTGATTCTCTCTGTCTTTCTTCGTCTAATCAGGACTGGCTTCCCTTGAAGCCACTTTTTTAGCTATCCCCCTGGGACATTCCTTTACTCTTCTCCTGGGGAGATTTATTTGTTACCTGTATTTTAGTTTATTTTCTTAAGTAAGTCCCAAGAGATTGATTACTTGGGAAATTTCCCA